AATTGCTTGACTCACCCTCTACCCTTTCCACCAAATATTAGGTTGAACCATATGAAATTGTCATTCTTATAGATTAAAATGACTGAATAACAGTACTTTTATATGTAAATTTATTCAAACACGTCCAGAGATGGGGCATTCACTATTTACTGAGGTAGCCCAGTTAACAATTTACCTAATAGAATGTTTTAAAAAATTGTCCAGGTACAGTGCCTGTAAGCCCAGTGCTCTGGGGGGCTGAAACAGGATGATCATTTGAATCCAGGAGTTCGAGAACAGTCTAGGCAACATAGTAAGACCCTTGTCACTACAAAAACAATTGGTGGCACATTCCTGTAGTCCTGTCTACTCAGGAGGCTGAGGCAGGACGATCGCGTGAGCCCAAGAATTAGAGTTCACAGTGAACTGTGATCACACCACTGCACTCCAGCCTGGGCAACACAGAATAAGATCCTGTCTCTTGGGGAGATCATCTGAGGTCAGGAGTTCAAGACCTGCCTGGCCAACATGACGAAACCCCATCTTTACTAAATTTGTAACTATCTTGAGCAGACATATGAGGAGAAACAGGTCATTATCCTCAGCATCAAAGGAATAAACCAAAATGTTAAAAAAAAAAGACCCTTTCTCTTATTAAAACACACACACACACACACACACACACACAGACACACACACACACACAGACACACACACACATACACACATACACACACTCCAAATCCATCTTCCTGTTCCTTCTGAGTTCTCAGCTCTCTCCTCTGAGCACATTTCATGTATTGTGTAGAATTTGACTACAAAATGCCAAGAGGAAGCCCCACCCCTACCACAGGCAGAAAAGCATGAGATTGTCACCTTTTTATTCTAGACACAACACTTGTAGAAATGCATTCTAAAATGTCTAACTTTTAAAAAATGTGCTGCTGTAATCCATGTCTTCTCTCTCTTGTTCTAGTTTATTTCTAACTAAGCTCAGGACCTCACAGTTAACTCCAGTGATTTTTACCGTATTCAGTTTAGTGCACCACCCTTCCCTTTTAAAGCCAAGCTTTTACCCCTACCCATTGGGTCAAAGTTTTTATTCATTATTTTCTCTATAGTTGTTAGGATACAACAACACAATGCAAATAAAATGCCAAGATATTTGTGAATTGAATCATGATTGTCCAATCCAGGGTGGATTTTGCAAGTTTGGGAAGTGTGCATTCTTTATATTCATCCAAGTCACTGCTACAAATGTTGAAAAGGACAGAGCTGATAATTAAGCCCAAAGGAATGTAGATAGTTGGACAGTGATTCATTAACCTTTAGGTTTGGTCTTTCAGTCCGTACTATTTCTCCGACCTGGGTCAGCAACCATCCTTGTTTCTCAGCCTTGTCTACACGAAGTAATAGTGTAATAAATATCTTGCTGAAGTAATAACTATCTTGCTGAAGTATATAAGGGGCTTCTCATTATTGGGTATTCATTGTCCCATTCCTGAAGTTCAGTAGAGCAGTGTGTCATTTAGGATACACTGAGCCACCATAACAAATAGACCTAAATGTTTAATGGCTCTACATGATGGAATGTTATTTGTAGCACAGGTAACAAGAAATCAGGGTGCTCAAGTTGGTGGGGGTACTCTCTTCCATGCAGCCACTCAGGGATCTAGGTTTTTCCCATCTTGTGAATCTGTCATTCTCCATGGCCTCACTGTCATCTGCATCCAGTCAAGGAAGAGGAAAACACACAAAGGAGCACATGTGAGCAATTTTTGTCAGACAGGCATGAAAGTGGCATGTCACTGCTGTTCACTTTGTCACAAAGCCACATCTAGCCAAATGGTAGGTAGGGAAATGCTGTTGAGTTTATTGCTTAAAGAGGGGAAGAATGGATTTGGTGGATAGCTAGTTGTCTCCACTATAGACAGCTAAAGTCTATGTGACACAAAACGAATCATTCATAAACTGAACACACATTCCTTCCTTTCAAAACCAAGCTTCCACCCCTGCCCATTGTGTCACAGTCTTTGTCCATTATTTTCTCAATAGTTATCAGGTTACAACAGCACAATGCAACACAAGTTACATAAAAATTGATGGCAAAGTGAAACTGTCAGTCTTGCAAAATAAGCAAGATTTTTAAAAGATTAGGAAAGCAATTTTGGGGAAGTGCCCTAATCGTTTGCCTAGCCAGTGACATATGAGGAAACAGCAGCATTAGATGACAGAAAATCTATGAGGATAAGGACCAAAATGATACTTCAAATGAGAATGATTTGAATATCAAAGAAGTAACAGACACCTGGGAAAATTAACAAAGACCTCAGCTATTTTTGCCAAAATTATACTGTTTATGATTGTGTTGTGAAAGTCAAATCTGAATTGACCAATTTTTTTATTATATGAGCATATAATTTTACCAGAAAAACATATGCAAAACATTCCTCAACAGTTGATTGCTTCCCTTTCATGATTATTGTTATTTTAAGAATCAGCTGGCTGGAGTCCTTCTGCCTCACTTCCCCTCCAAGGCTCAGTCTCTAAATGTTGGGATGCCCACAGCCGTGTCCTGGGCCCCTTCTCCACATCTCTCCTCTTCTAAGTGATTTCAGTCCCTTGATCCCATTCAGTCCCTTGGCTTTAAATATCATCTACATGCAGCTGACTCTGAAATTTGTGTCTGCAGTCTTGGCCTGTCCCCTGAGCTTCAGACATTTATCCTACTGTCTACTTGATATCTCCACTTGAGTGTTTAACAGCCTGTCAGACTTGGGTGCCTGAAAACAGGCTTCTTGATTGAAAACTGTTTCACAAGTCTTTCCTATGTCACTCTGTAAATGGCAGCTTCAGTCAGCTGCTTGCTCAAGCCAAAATCTTGAGTTATTTTATATGTCTCTGCCTCTGCCCTCCCCTGACCCCACATTCGATGGAACTACAAGTTTTGTTGGGGCTAATTTCCAAATATGACCTAAATCAACTCCAGTCCCTCTCCCCACTACCATTGGACCCCAAGCCCAGGCAGCCACATCTCTCACTAGGGCCTCTGGGACAGCCTCCTGACCTGTGTCCCTGCTCCTACCCTTGCCTTCATTACTACTTCATCTTCACACAGCAGCACCAGGGATCGCTGAAGCAAAGACATTGACTGGGTCGTTCCTCGAATTCGATCCCTTCAGTGCTTCCCATCACTTTTATAATAACTTTTTAAAGTTATTATAAAGGCTGAATATGGTGGTTCATGCCTATAATCCTACCACGTTGGGAGGCTGAGGCAGGTGGATCACTGGATCCCAGGAGTTTGAGACCAGCCTGGGCAATATAGTGAGACTCCCAACTCCATTTTAAACAAATAAAAATTAAAAATTAAAAGCAAAATATACTGGCTATGATAAAGATAATTGCTATGAAGAAGACAAAACAGGTTAATGAGATAGAGAGGTATATTGATCCATTCTCACACTGCCATGAAGAAATACGTGAACCTGGGTCATTAAAGGAAAGAGGGTTAATTGACTCACAGTTCTGTATGGCTGGGGAGGCCTCAGGAGACTTACAATCATGGTGGAAGGCAAAGGAGAAGCAGGCACCTTCTTCACAGGGCATCAGGACAGAGTGAGTGCAAGCAGGGGAAATGCCAGACACTTATAAAACCATCAGATCTTGTAAGAACTCATTCATTATCACGAGAACAGCATTGGGGAAACTGCCCCCATGATCCACTCACTTCCCACCAGGTCCCTCCCATGACACGATTCAAGATGAGACTTGGGTGGAGATATAGCTAAACTATATCAAGAGGGCTGGAAGAGAAACTGCTCCAGATGGGAGCTGGAGAACGCCTCGGTATGGATGTGACATTTGGGCTGAGATGTGGATGATGAGAAGGAGTCAGGCAGCCATGCCCTGGAGAAAAAGAGCGATGCAGACAGCAGAAGCCCCGAGGACAGAGCCAGCTGACAGCTCATGTGGTGGCCAGAGAGTGAGTGAGGAGGAGGGGCGGTGAGAGGAGGTGTGAGATGTGGGCACAAGTAAGATGAGGTGGGGCCCAGGAGGCCACAGGGAAGAGTTTAAGTTTATAAAAGGGGTTTAATAGTAGCCTCTTTATAATAGGATTTATTTATTTATTTTTTGAGACAGGGTTTCTCTCCTGTCATCCAGGCTGGTATGCAGTTGTTCAATCTCAGCTCAGTGCAACCTCCACATTCTGGGTTCAAGTGATTCTCCCACCTCAGCCTCCCAAGTAGCTGGGATTATAGGTGCCCACCATCAGTCCTGGCTAATTTTCATATTTTTAGTAGAGACAGTGTTTCGTCATGTTGGCCAGGCTGGTCTCGAACTCCTGACCCCAGGTGATCCCAAAGTGTTGGGATTACAGGTGTGAGCCACTTCACTGGCTTATTTGGCTTTTTGATGTGTTAAACTGTCTGTCTTCCCTTAGACTTTAAGCTCCACTAGAGTAGAGGCTTTGTCTCTTTGGTTCACTGTCATATTTTCACTTGCCAGAGGCTGCCTTATAATAGATGGCCAATAAATACCTGTTAAATAAATAAATATTTCTTGCATTTTTAAAATACAAGAAAAAATAAATTTCTTAACATTATTTTAAGTTTTATCTTCCAGAGTAAAGTCTCAACAAACACCTTTCTTCACCATTTAATATGGAATTTTGGCTTCCTTTATAAGTAGATTTATTTAAGTGGCCTTTCCCTTTACCCATTATCTTTGTCTATCTTGCCTATTTCCTTCCTTACATTTCCTAGACTAATAACCCATGGAAAAAGGAAGTGAGGGCTGTGCTGACATGATTTGCTCTTGGTTAACCCAAGCTGGTCCACGGTGATAAATCATTTTTGTTTTGGGGGCACAGAAGTACCCTCTCCTCCTTAAAATCCATTCTAGAATAGTGTCTGCAAAGTGTTATGTTCATTGGTTTGCAGGGTATAGAACTTTCTTTCTTTTTTTCCCCCTTTTTTAGCAAGGCCCATAACTGCAACATCATCTTTCTTCTTTTTTTATTTTTAATGGAACGCTTCATAGATTTGCATGTCATCCTTGTGCAGGGGCCGTGCTAGTCTTCTTTGTATCATTCCAGTTTTAGTATATGAGCTGCTGAAGCGACTACTCTGATTTATTTATTTTTGAGATGGAGTCTCACTCTATTACCCAGGTTGGAGTGCAGTGGCGCCATTTTGGCTCACTGAAACCTCTGCCTCCTTCAATTCTCCTCTCTCAGCCTCCCTAGTAGCTGGGACTACAGTTGCATGCCACCACACCCAGCTAATTTTTGTATTTTTAATACAGACGGGGTTTCGCCATATTGGTCAGGCTGGTCTCGAACTCCTGACCTCAGGTTATCCGCCTGCCATGGCCTCCCAAAGTGGTGGGATTACAGGCATGAGTCACCACACCTGGCCTCCTCTTTTTAATGGAACATTTTTTCCATCTCCAAGATTCCAGCACCATCCTAAATATCTGTAGGTCCTCTAAGAGTACAGATAGACACAGAAAATCTCTTTCCTGGGTTCTCTACGTGCTGTGGCCTGTAATTCATCTGGATCAAGAGATGAGTTTAATTCAATTTAGACACAAATAAATGTTCTCATTAGAGGGGACTGGCCACATTGCAAGACCATTTGGCAACACACTGATGTCACTGAATCACTGAACTAAACAGATTCCTCTTTAATGTGGAGGCTCTGATCCCTTTCAAAGTACTGGCTTCTATAGATCTTTGAATTCTTAGAACCAGTCATTTGGGGTCTAAAAATATTGTTGAAGGGTTTATGATCTACCTTAAAATTCTCCTCCACCTTGTTATGTGTCATGATCCTTAGGGGTCTCTGGGAAGAGAAGAGAGTCAGGAGGAAGACCTACAGAGCCAGCTGTCCTGCAACACCTTACCACGAGGGCCTCTGGGTAGAAGTCAGACATTTACCTGTGTGTGGCCTGCCAGGTGTAAGTGGTCTGCCCCTAGGGTTCTGAGGTTAACTTGAGAGTACATGGCATCCTAAAGGGGCCAGCCAGCCACTCCTCACGTCTCCTCTACACTCTTGCCAATCAGAGATATCTGAATTTTCATGTCAGATCACTGTTTTCAAATTAGTCTTTTTTTTAGGGGGATCTTGATGGTGCAGGGGATGTGGGTGGGGTGTGGTGGCTGCGCGCCCGTGCACAAGTCCCTTTCTATCTCACGTTGCTGCAAGGCTCCCTCATGTTAGTTTTAACTGCTGGCTCAACTGTATAAAGGCTATGTCGGCCAGGTAGCACATAGCCCAGGCCTGATTCATTAGTTGCTTCCAGTTTGCAACCTCTGACCTAAGGTGCCACGTAAATATCACTGGTGGAGAAAGAGTGGATGCTCGTTGTCAGTTTCTTCTGTCACTGACACCAGAGTGTGATGTGAATGCAGATTCGTTCTCAGTCCAGACAGCAGTTTCTGTTCTAGGAGTTAACAGATAGTTACAAAGCATTTTAAATTTAATTTAATTACTTTATTTAGAAACAGGACCTGTATCTGTTGCCCAGGCTGGAATGCAGTGTTGTAGTCTTGGTTGACACTTCAGCCTCAGCCTCCTGGGCTCAGGCAGTCCTCCCATCTCAGCCTCTGGAGTAGTCAGGGCAACAGGTACACACTACCACACCTAGCTAGTTTTTGCATTTATTTTTTAGAGACAGGGTCTTGCTATGTTGCCCAGGCTGGTGTTGACGCCTAGCTTCAAGCAATCCTCCCACTTTGGCCTCCCAAAGTGTTGGGATTACTGATATGAGCCAGCGTGCCTGGCTCACAAAACATTAAAAAAAAATTGGCATTGCAGGGAATCTTCATTTAAATGGCATTGAAATTTGACAGAAACAGTCAACTTCACAATGAGGGATTCATGTGGCTGCTGCTTTGGGGCACTTTTTTTTTTGAGACAGGGTCTCACTCTGTCACCCATGCTACAGTGCCATGGCACTTTCTTAGCTCATGGTACTTTCCTGGGCTCAGGTGATCTTCCTGCCTCACCCTCCTGGGTAGTTAGGACTATAGACATGCACCACCACACTCAGCTAATTAAAAAAATTTTTTTTGTAGAGATGTGGGGAGGCTCTTACTAGGTTGCCTAGGCTGGCCTTGAACTCCTGGCCTCAAATGATCCTCCTCCCTTGGCCTCTCAAAGTGCTGGGATTACAGATGTGGGACATTACACCTGGCCTGGGGCACAGTTTTTGTGAGGGCCTGACTCCCCAAGTAAAGGACTAGAAATTTGTCATCTACATATTGAGGACCCTCAAACTAGTCCCAGAAATAGTGCATGCATGTAGTAGGGGCCAAAAAGTGTACTAATTTAATGTTGCTTTCTGCAGGTCTGGATCTAAAAAAAAAAAAAAAAAAAAAAAAAAAAAAAAAATAAATGTTACTCACCACTTTTATTCACAATTAGCTTTAAAAACTTTAAATAAGGCCGGGCGCAGTGGCTCATGCCTTTTAGTCCCAGCACTTTGGGAGGCCGAGGCAGTTGGATTGCCTGAGGTCAGGAGTTCAAGACCAGTCTGGCCAACATGGTGAAACCCTGTCTCTACTAAAAATACAAAAAAAAAAAAAAAATTAAATTAAAACTCCATCGGGCATAGTGGCTTACGCCTGTAATCCCAGCACATTGGGAGTCCAAGGTAGATGGATCACTTGAGGTCAGGAGTTTGAGACCAGCCTGGCCAACATGGTGAAACCCGTCTCTACTAAAAATATAAACATTAGCTGGATATGGTGGCGTGTGATTGTAATTCCAGCTATGCAGGAGGCTGAGGTAGGAGAATCACTTGAACCCAGGAGGTGAAGTTTGCAGTGAGCCGAGATCACACCACTGCCCTCCAGCCTGGGCCAAAGAGTGAGACTCTGTCTGAAAAAAAAAAAGGCCACGCATGTAGGTAGCTCGTGCCCATAATCCCAGCACTTTGAGAAGTCAAGGTGGGTGGATCACGAGGTTGAGAGTTCAAGACCAGCCTGGCCAACATGATGAAACCCTGTCTCTACTAAAAATACAAAAACTAGCTGGGTATGGTGACACACGCCTATAATCCCAGCTATGCAGGAGGCTGAAGCAAGAGAATAGCTTGAACCTAGGAGGCAGAGGTTGCAGTGAGCTAAGATCATACCATTGCACTCCAGCCTGGACGACATAGTGAGACTCTGTCCCAGAAAAAAACAAACAAAACAGAAAAACCCCAACTCTTTGGCTGAGTGCGGTGGCTCACGCCTGTAATCCCAGCACTTTAGCTTAGCTACTGAGTACAGGTAGTAAGTAGTAAGGCTGTGGGATTGAACCAGGGTTGGGATTGCGCCACGTGCTTACAGTGGTCATGGAGAAGGGCGAGGGAGTTGTGGTTGGCCGCAGGTGTGGTGATTTTAACGACGGATCATGGAATCTAAACTAGATCAAAAGGGAAGTGTGGACATAAGCGGGTAAAGGGCTGTAAAAGGGTCTAGGGAGCCGTGATGAAGCCCTGAATCAAAGGTTAGAAAGATGGGAATGATTTGGGGACTGTACTGTAGGAAAATCCACTCATCCTTGCTGACTGGTTTCATTGGGACTCTCAAGCCACAGGTGGGTCCTCAGCGCAGCCTGGCAATTGTAATATATTTCCATGGTCAACTCAGTCACCAACTCTCCTGGCCAGCTCTTTCACAAAGCCTCTCTCCTCCAACCTCCAATGCCCTCTGCCCCCATCCCCTCCTTCTCAGCTGATGACCTTGCTCATTATTTTGCTGAAAAAAGAGAAGCAATCAGAAGAGGCTGATCATCGGCCTAATGGATCGCCTTTGTCTCCTCTGCCCGCAGTTCCTCAGTGTCCACAGAGTCAATTTCCCAAACAGTAGCCAGAATTACTACAGGATTACTCGCTGAGAACAAAATCCAAACTCCTTACCGTGACCTAAAGCATCTAAGTGGTCTACCCACCTGCTCGTCTCTGATTTCATCTCCCTCCCTCTGTCACTACTGTCTCCGCCCTACACACATGGATCTCTTTGCTTTTTCCCCAACACCCAAGGCATATTCCCCACTCAGGAACTTTGCACATGCTGCTTCAGTCTCTGGAGTGCTCTTCCCCCCAAAGTATGTGTGGTTTGCTTTCTCATTTCTTTTTCTTTCTTCTTTTTTTTTTT